TTGGTAGCAGTCAATCCCTTCCACCTCTAGATTTGTATTCTCTTAGGTCCAGACTCAAAAGTAAAGAATACTTCTTCCTTGAAGTTACCATCCAGATCCAGGAATGGACCTGGCGGGACTGCTCGACAGCTCTGCAGGGCATGTGTGATGGTGCTTGTTAGAGGGGAGTCCTGCCTGCCTCAAACCCGCCACTGTGGTAAGGGTTGCTGTGTTGGCTAGGCCTCGGTCACATGTTCCTCCTCTGGAGTCAGAAACCTAACACACTGAGACCACAGACTGAGTGTGTGTGTGTGTGTGTGTGTGTGTGTGTGTGTGTGTGTGCGTGTGTGTGTGTGTGTGAGGTATGCCTCAAAGCTACTTTGTGTATTGGAAGACTAGGAAACCTGGTGAGGACTAGGTCATGTTGCACCACAAGCAACACCTGAATCTCAGTGGCTTCCTTCAGACAGCCCTAACCAAAGTTCAGTTTCTGTTTATGCCAAGTCTCCAGGTAGCCCACCTCCATGTAGTGCCTTAGCCTCCTGGGCTTCCTGAGTACTGGATTACCACAGACTGTTTGGCCCATTTCCCAGGGCTGTGTGGGGTTAGTGGACAGAGACAAGAAGTACCACAAAGAACTAGAAGCACCGAGTGTTCTAGGAGCTGCCAATGCGCCACACTGTCTGCAGGACACAGAGCCTCTTGTTGGGAGTGGCTCATGGAGCTCAGTTCCGGTGGTGCTGGCACTGCAGCAGAGCTCTCTCCACCTTCAGGTACCAGTTGCACATCTGCTGTCATCATCCATTGTGCGCATAAGGAATTCACTTGCTAAATTTGTACCCGCTCCTATTTCTGCTTTGGCACAGTGAGTTCCACAGTGATAGGAAGGGCACTGTGATGTCACAGGCAGACCGACCGTCTTTCTGAGAGTGCTGGGGGCTTGTCTTCGCCTCACAGCCATTCATGTTTGCTGTGGCTTTCTTGGTCATGGTTACAGAGGGAACTGAGATGCTTTTAGGCTCTTTTTGCTGACCCCTATGCTTGTGTTGAGGGTGACTTGGGACATGACCACGGGTGAGGTGGTGACACTGGTGTGGTAGGCAGCACTTCTCTGTGTGATGGACAGCAGCATTCCAGCCCTCAGGAGCCCTGAGCAGCCCTGCTGAGCCAACTCTGGAGACTTCCCTGTGCACTGCTTTTGTTCTGAGAACTGCACCGTGGCTTCTCCAGTAGGAGAAAGGCAGATGGGCCTTGTTTTGGCCAGTGCTATTTCTAAATATGAGCCTTAATTAAAGCAGGCGATTGCAGCCTTCCACTCAAAGGTCATTTGTGAAAACGGAGCTTTTGGTCAGTCTATAAGTGATCTTACGTCACCTATGTCATATTCTCTCACACTTAGAAAATAGCATCATCTGTAGCAGTCACTGCTCACATAGCAGGGATCTACGGTTAGACCCTGAGGAGCTTGGTGCTGGCCTTTTCACTTCCTGGAGTCACTTCTTGTGAACAATTTGCCTTCTAGTTTTTTTTTTTTTTTTGTCTTTTTGAGGCAGGGTCTTCCTGTAGCCCCAGCTGTCCTGGAACTCACTATGTAGACCAGGCTGGCCTTGAACTCACAGAGATCCGCCTGCCTCTGCCTCCCGAGTGCTGGAATTAAAGGCATGCACCACCATGCCCGGCACCTTCTAGTTTTTTAAATGTCAGTCGCTTTACTGTCCTCAAACTGTTATTTTCAGAAGAAAGAAAGAAACACCAACACCACTATCACCACAAAACCCAAGGTGATTGCCTCACTGGTTTTGATGAGACATAGTAATGAAGATAGAGAGTTGTTGAGGAGCATTCACTGTTGACTCAGTCACATCTAGAGTGTCAGTGTGAGTGAAATCAATGTATGCATTCATGCATTTACCTTCACTGGCTCGGAAATTGTGTGGGGATACAAGCGTTTGGTTTCAAGTTCGTGTAGTGGGAACAGGCCTCAAGGGGCAACCACCTGACACTGTCTGTGGCATCTTTAAGGGGTTTCCATAGCTTCTGCTGACTTTTCCCAGGGATCTGACTCTCAGTGCTGTGGGAAGCCTTTCTCAAGGTGTCTCCCTGCAGTGTGCCTGTGTCCTGTTGAGGGGAGTCTTGTCCCTTGAACCTGTCACCAGCTAAGATTAGCGCCTCTTGATGATTCAGGTGGCTCCTTGGTAGATCTCGTGCTGCTGTTCATACTAAGAAATGAACAGGTTGAAAAACCAATGGCTAGACTCTGTTTTATTTAGTTTTTTGTTTTAATAGTAATTTTACATTTATTTAATCTGTTTGGTATGTGTATGGGTGGCAGGCTTTGTGGCAAGCACCTTTATCTGCTGAGCCACCATCTTGCTATTCTTGTGTTTTATTTTAGAAAAAAATGTTCATGAATACTGCTGAATTCCTGTGATCCTGGGGTAGTTAAAAATGCAGGTCCCGGAATGCAGCCAAACTTCTCAGGTTCAAATTCCAGTCCTACCATTTAGTGGCTTTAGACCCTTCAGCAAATTATGTAAATTCTGTGTGCCTTGACTTTACTGTATATAAAGTAGAAGTAAAATAACATTTAATACTTCAGATTGCTGAAATGATGAGGTGAGAGTTAAGCCTTTTGGTTGCACAGAGTACATGGTGATGCCATAATTAAATACTAGCTGCCAGCCAGGTGTAGTGGCATGCACCTGTAATCCCAGCTACTTGGGAAGCTGAGGCTGGACGATCACTGGAGTCCAGGAGTTTGGGCCAACCTGGGTGACATAGTGAAACCCCCACTCCCAAACAGATACCAGCTATTCTTACAGAGTCAGGTGGTTGTCCCGAGTAATGTCCAGAATAGTAAAATTCAGATAGGTTGACTTGTGTGCATGCTGGATGAATTTGCCACCTCCAGAAAGTTACCTGCCTTCAGCATCGGTGACTTGTGAGCTGGTTCAGGCAAATTTTAATGCATAAAATCATGAAAGATGAAAGGATGCAATCACATATCTTTTTAACAATATAGGATGGTCTGTTTTGGTTACAAAATTAACACATGAGGTTCTGTGACTCTGTTAAATGACTCACTGGCTAAGATTTTTGTCTTTCCTTTTTGCCTTTCAATATTCAGCATTTGATCCTAAATACCATTGAGGATCTGCTCACGGAGCCTGAGTCTGACTCTTACTGGTTAGTTGGTTTTTCCATGTTGTTAGACTGTAGTGCTTCTGTCCATCTCCCTGCAGACATTTCAGTGCATCTGACAGCTGCAAGATGCTGTTCTCTTCTCAGTCATTTTAGGTGGGACATGAAAAATGATGAATTCTCTGTGTTCCCTGAAAGTCTCAAACATAACTGTGGAGATTTGTCTTCAGACTTCTTTTACGACTTCTGAAAGTGGTCCAGCGGGGGCTGAAGCACGGTGTGTCACTGACTACTCCTACTGGTGACTGTCTCAAGATGGCCTGCTAGTCTCCTGCTTTCTGAATTTAGTCTCTTTTAGAAATTATCGGTGATGGTAATCCATGGCTAATGATGAATTATTGGATGATTAAAAATAAGCTATTTGAATGTACTGAAAAAATAAAATCACTAACATTCTGAGTTGCATCTTAGATAGTTATTTTTTCAGTGCTAGGGATCCAACACAGGGCCTTGTACATGCTGAGCTCACACGCTCTGACTGAGCTGCAACCCTCGCTTTGTAGCTCAGACTGTCATAAGGGTCCATTCAAACTCATGGAAACTGTAAGGCGGAGTGACTTTTGGAAGACCTCCAAGTAGTAAAAGTCATAAAGTAGCACTGTCTGCAAATAGGGATAGGACTGCTACAAAGAGAAGTCCAAACAACCACTGTCGGATCCAGTGGACCTCATGATACGTGGGATGTTGCCCCTTCTAATAAACCAGCTGAAGAAAATGATCTGAAAGGCAGGTGGAGATGAACTCCTGAGGCTGTATACCACAAGGTTGTTATTACTAAATAGGAGAAAACCTATATGCGCAAGGCAGTGTCAGGTTGATTACGGCACACACATGTAGCATACATGCTCAGGTCTTACCTTATGCTCAAGGTCAGACTCTGAGAGGCTTCAATGATGTGAGCTCCTGATTGAGCAGGAACCATAAAGAGAACACAAACCTGTGTAAACAGTGAGGTCACTCTTATAAAACATATACGTAAAAATATTGGTAGTTTTTATGTATAAAACTAATGTTACTATAAAATATTTTCTTTTTTGGATGGTGAGATACATTTATACTTTATTATTTATACTTTTATTTTCTAAAATCTGTAGCATACATTTTTAAAAAGTGAAGCAAATAATTTATTTAAATTTTATGTGTTTTAGTGTTTTGCCTGTGTGTACTGGTGTGTGCAATGCCTGCAGAGGCCAGAAGAGGGCACTGAATTCCCTGGAACTGGAGTTATAGACACTTGTTAGTCACCATGTGGGTGTTGGGGACTGAACCTGGGTCCTCTGTAAGAACAGCTAGTGCTCTTCACCACTGAGCCATATCTCTAGCCCCATGAAGCCAATCATTTTTGTGATGTGGAAGCATGTGTTTTTTCTCAGTTTCTTTATAATTTAGATAACACTGCATTTATTCATGTAAAAACTCCTACCTGTGGTTTTTAGTGTATTCCTAAAAGGTGTTCTGCCACAGTCATCACCACAATCAATTTGAGAACATTTTTACCACCCTGGAAAGAAATTTTCTCCTTAGTAATAGTTACCACCTACCCATCCTAGGCAACACCATTCTGCTTTTTGTGCCTGTGAACCTGCCTTATCTTTCCCCTCTCCGTTCCTGAAGTGCTCTACATCTGAGCTGCGTCCCTAGCCCTGGATCTGCTTATTTTGAATGGTACATGTACACGCAAACCATAGTCTCCATTTACTGAGCACGGTTGATGGCAGTGTGAAGGAGATTGTTCTTGTTAGCACTGTACTTGTTTAATTTAGAACTTATACAGCCCTTGTCTGTGATGTGTGATAACAGATTTTTTTCTTTGCTCCTAGAATTGGTTCCTTCCATCATGAGCAACTTGTTGAATCCAGATGCTATTTTCTCCAACAATGAGATGAGCCTGTCAGACATTGAGATCTATGGCTTTGATTATGATTATACCCTGGTGTTCTACTCGAAGCACCTCCATACCCTCATCTTCAATGCTGCTCGGGACCTTCTCATCAATGAGCACCGGGTAAGGCCCCAGGGACCTTTCTGTCCCCTTTCCCTTTGGCCCTTTTGACATATGAAGAACAGACAACCTTCTGTGCCCAGAAGAGTACTGTAGTGAATACCTGTAGGATGCATGAGTAGTTTTTGGTCCATTCCACATTTCCAAGTGACTCTTATCTAGAATCCAGTTATTTTTTTTTTAAAGTGTCTATGTATGAGTGTGTGTATGCAAGTGTATGAATGTGTACAAGTGTACGTGCAGGTGTGTATGACTGCATATGGGGTCAGACAACAACCTTGGGTGTCGTCCTCAGGGACGCCATCTACCTCTCTTGAGACAAGGTCTCTCATTGGCATGGAGCTCACCAGCAGTTTGGTTAGACTGGCTGGCCGGCGAGCTTCGGGGGATCCTCATGTCTCCACCGTCTCCGCTGCTGGGATTACGAGCATGTACAACTATATCCAGCTTTTAGTGTTGGATTCTGGGGATGAAACTCGGGTCTTCATGCTTGTGTTGCGTTAAAAAAAACAACAACTCTAGATATCTCTTTGGAAAACACTATTGTTAGTAGAGATTGTGCTGAGGGTGCTTGTGCTTCCAGTGCAGTCCTCACAAAGCTTGACTGAACAGCAGCTTAGTAAGTTCGTGTCAGAAGAACGGCCTCACATGATAAGCTTTGTCCTGCACTGCTGACTCAAATTGCTTTTTATGTAATAAGAATTTTAGAGTTCGAGCCAGGCATGGTGGTGCCTGCCTTTAATCCCAGCACTTGGGAGGCAGAGGCAGGCGAATCTCTGGGAGTTCAAGGCCAGCCTGGTCTACATAGTGAGTTCCAGGACAACTGGGGCAACAGGGAGACCCTGTCTCAAAAGACCAAAAAAAAAAAATTTTTTTTTTAGAGTATATATGTACTCACATGAGCATGGATGTGTTTGTGTGTGTGTGTGTGTGTGTGTATGTGTGTGTGTGTGTGTGTTGTGTGAGAGAGAGAGAGAGAGAGAGAGAGAGAGAGATCAACCTCAAGTGTCTCCCATAGGAATTTTCCACCTCTTTTTTTTAATTAAAAAATATTTTATGTATTATTTTTATTTTATGTGTATGAGTACTTTGCCTGCATGTATGTAAGTGCACCCATGTTGTACATTGCCCACAGAGGTCAGAAGAGGGCATTGGATCCCCTGGAACTGGAGTTACAGATGGTTGTTAGCTGCCATGTGGGTGTTGGAACCGATCCCAGGTCCTCTGCAAGAGCAGCCAGTGCTGTTAACCCTTGAGCCATGTCTCTAGCCTCCATCTACCTTATGTTTTGAGATAGCATCTCTCAGTGAATCTGGAGCTCATCATTTTAGCTACATTGTCTGTCCAATGAGCTCTAAGGATCTACCTGTCTCTGCCCCTCCAGCACTGGGTTATAGATGCACACTACCATGCCTGGCTTATTTGGAGTGTTGGAGATTAAAACTCAGATCTTCTTCATGCTTGTGTGGCAAGCACTTTACAGGCTGAGCCACCTTCCCAGTTCCTGTAGTAACAATGTTTGAATATCTTTTGTTGCCTAGTACTTTTGAGCTTTAAATGTGTACAGAAAAAAAGAAAATGGGGGCTAGAGAGATGGCTCAGCTGTTAAGTGCACTTCTTGCTCTTGCAGGGGACCAGAGCTCAGCTTCCATCACCCACATTGGGGACTCACAACCACATGTTAAGCTCAGCTACAGGGAATCTGAGGCCCTCTTCTGGCCTCCATGGGTACTCATGTACATACACACATAGATACACACATGCCCATAAACAAAAATAAAAATAAATCTTAAAAAAAAAAAAACAGAATACAGTGCTGGAAAGATGCTTCAAGGAATTAAGCAGCTCTTCCAAAGGACCAAGGTTTGGTTCCCAGCACACAAATGGAGTATGTCAACTGTCTGTAACTCTACCTTCTGGCTTCTGCAGGTTTCCACACAAGGAACATTTAGATACATGCAGGCAAAATACACATGAAATAAACAAAATTTTAAAAAATTGAAAAGAGGGCTGGAGAGATGGCTCAGCGGTTAAGAACACTGACTACTCTTGCAGAGGACCCCAGAGGACCTGGGTTCAATTCCCAGCACCCACATGGTGGCTAACAATTGTCTATAACTCCAGTTCTGGGGGTCCGACGCCCTCTTCTGACCTCTGCAGGCATTGCACAACACGGGTGCACTAGCATGTATGCAGGCAATACTCTCATACACATAAAATAAAAATAATAAATAAAATATCTTAAAAAAAAAAAAGAAGAAAAGAAAATGCTATCCACTTACCGTTATTTTTTTCTAGTCTGATTTGAAAATCCATTTCAGCAGTCAGGGTGAGAGGTGTCTGCAGAGCATCAGCCAGTCTAGTGCCCTGGAGAAAGCCCCCATACCTTCCCAGGAAACGTGACTATGGATCTCTGTCTCTAATCAGAATCCGTCCCTCCAGAGTTTTGTTGTGATGTGGAAATTCTTCACGGGCTGAACACTTTTGCCTTCATACAGCTTCCATTCTTGAGCTCTTTTCTCCCTGTTCATTTCTTCTTTCCCCTTTTCTAGGCCTTTTCTGTGCTGTTGATGAACCACAGTATGCTGTGGATGTGGGGAGTATAAACATGGGGGGGACACAGGCATTGTTTTGGGGTGAATCAGGAACTGGGGGGAAATTGTGGACCTACCTGGTAGGGCCCCTGTGGACACTGGAGCAGAGGGCTAAGGAGGCACAGGGGATGGTTGGAATAGCTTTCTTAGGGAATAGGGGAACTGCAAAGGGGGCAGGATTTCAGCCTGGTTTATAGGTTAGCAGAGGTGGGCTGGGGCAGGTGCAGTGCAGCTCAATAACCTAGAAACCCAAGCTGCAAGGCTGTTGTTGCACACTCACTGAGAGTCAGTGGACGTGCACTAGCTGTTTTGCCCTCTGAGACTTAGCTTTTCCCAGGCCAGTCGGTCAGTCACCGGTTCTTTGAACTATTTAGTCCTGTTTGCCCTCTTTCCTTTTTCATCCTGGTCACCTTCTTTTGTCCCTCTCAGATGTGAAGCTCTGAAGATGTAACTGTGGAGGAGGTATGACCAGTGCAAAATAGAGACCATTACCCCCCCCCCCGCCCCATTGTGGATATTGCACTTGAGCAGAGCAACCAAAGTTTCCATTAGTTTTAGCTCCTGACCATTTGATCCAGTATATTTTCTGATCCTCAGCTATTATTTATCAACAGATGTAAACAGTTTATTTTAACCTGATCGAAAATATAGAAATGGCATTTGGCAAAAATATTCTTTCCTTTGTCACTAAGCCAGCAGTAGCTTTCTTTTGTTACAACCACTTTGTCAGCCACATTTCTTCATTTGTTGAGACTCTTCTCCATCTAAAGTCCCGTGCCCCCTGGATCGGATGGATGGCACCAAGTAACCAGGCAGCTCCGCCCTTGCTTTCCGGCTGCCCCCTATACCTTCTCCTACCAGACACCAAGAGATGGCTCTGAAGGGCTGCTGGCCAGCCACGGTGTGTTCTGTGACTTTGATATCACTTGGGAAACGCAGGTTCTCCTGTTATCCTGTCAGTTCTGTTTCTGTACTGCTGGCTGAAAGCACACATTCCTGAGCCTTACTGTTTGGGTTCAAATCCTGCATCATCCCTTACTTCCTGCACAATCTAGATCCACTTACCTGGTTTCTCTAGGCTTGATCGCCTCCTGTAAAGTGGGCCTAGGAGCACCACCTTCCTCCCAGTGCTGCTGTAATCATTAGATGAATTAATATCTGTAAAGCGCCCAGCACCAGAAGATGCCCAGCATTAGCCAGTACCAGCATCACTTGTTTCACAGCTGACAGCCTCGCACGCTCACGTTACCTGTTTGAGGTACTGTTGAAGCTACGTTGAGTTACGTGTTTGAGCTACTTGGTCAAGATCACAGGTAGCAGGAAGCAGAACCAGGATTTTAACTCAGGTCTGTCTATATCCAAGAGACTTGTGTGTTCTCTGCCACTCCACATTGCCCCTGGAGGGTTAGTAACAGTTTTCTGCTCTAGAATTTTTCTTTTGTTCACATGAAAATTAAAATATTCATGAAAACAGTAAGTTATGAGCATAAACATTTATGAAGTGGGAGGCAGAGCTAAGCTGCTGGGTAAAGTAAAAGGTGGACTTGTGATTGAGAAGCCTCTAGATTGGAGATCATTGACATCTCATTATGTGTGTTTGTCACTTGGATAAAAAGGATGTTATAATACTAATTATATCAGGCATATTAATAGATCCAGTTATGCATGTGCAGCTTTTTCTCTTGCTTGATTAAGCAAAGTGCTTCTTCCAAGAAGTATTGAGCTCTGTGTTGTTCTGGCCGAAACCTTGAGTGCTCACAGAGACAGGAAGACATCTGCGTCTGGGATGCACAGTAATAGAACAGTCCATTTGCAATTTAGCATCTTTTCAGAAGGCAAAAGGAAAAACTTCAGTACCTTTAAAAATTACCCTTTTTAAGAATAAGAACAATTTTTTGTAGAAATGGAAATAAAAAATATTTTATTATTATTATTATTATTATTATTATTATTTTTGTCTTTCTGAGACAGGGTCTCCCTGTAGTCCCAGCTGACCTGAACTCACTGTGTAGACCAGGCTGGCCTTGAACTCACAGAGATCCGCCTGCCTCTGCCTCCTGAGTGCTGGGACTAAAGGCGTGCGCCACCACGCCCGGCTTATTTATTATTTTTATTTTACGTGTATGAGTGTATTGCCTGCATGCATGTGAGTGCACCCATGTTGTGCAATGCTTGCAGAGGTCAGAAGAGTGTGTTGGATCCCCTGGAACTGGAGTTATGGACAGTTATCAGTCGTCATGTGGGTGTTGGGTTTCGAACTCAGGTCCTCTGCAAGAGCAGCCAGTGCTCTTAGCCACTGACCATTTCTCTGACCCCAGAAATGGAAATTTTAACAGTTGAGTACTAACTGCATCTGTATTTTCATTTTATCTGTGTTAGAGTAGTGGGAGTATTAGAAGGGCTCCTAGT